TGGCTGAGCGAGGGGCGGGTGCAGCACTAAGAGTTGCGATCCCGTTGCTGGTCCCGGTCCGGTACAGGCGCGACACTGAGGGTTGCGATCCGTTGCCGGACACGAAAAAAGACAAAAAAAAAAAGAAAGAGGAATGTTTAGGGGCCGGCCTGTGGCTCACTCGGGAGAGTGCGGTGCTGATAACACCAAGGCCACAGGTTTGGATCCCATATAGGGATGGCCGGTTCGCTCACTGGCTGAGCCTGGTGCTGACAACAGCAAGTCAAGGGTTAAGATCCCCTTACCGGTCATCTTTAAAAAAAAAAAAAAAAAAAAAAAGAAAGAGGAATGTTTAATTTGTGGTCAAAGGTGAAAAAAACCACCAAGGTAATTAATAAATATTTGGGGGGAGAAACTTTGAGGCTATGCAAATGTCCTGTGTCTCCTTAAAGTTCTGACCACTAATTTCATCATTAATTAGTAGATTCTGCCTGCAGCAATTTTCATTTTAGTTTTTTGTTCGTTCGTTTGTTTTTTGTGGCTGGCACAGGGATCCAAACTGTGACCTGTTAGGCTGTGCTCTAACCAACTGGGCTAACCAGCCAGCCATATTTTAGTGTTCTAAGGGGGATTTTCTATTTTTATTCATTCTACATTTATCAACTGGAATTCTTTTTTTTTTTTTTTTTTCCTTTTTGTCTTTTTCCGTGTCCGGCAACGGATCACAACCCTCAGTGTTGCCCCTGTACCGGACCAGGACCGGCAACGGGATCGCAACCCTCGGTGTTGCTCCCGCGCCTCGCTCAGCCAGTGAGCGGGAACCGGTCTGTATGTGGGATCCGAACCCTTGGCGGGAGCGGCACCACGCTCCCAAGCGGCGCACTATAGCAGTGCGCCACCGGGCTGGCCCACAACTGGAATTCTTTTGTAAGGAAGATTTGTCCTTTCTCTTCCATTTTAAAATGTATGCAATCATGTATCTATACCATCATGGACTTGTGGACATTTATTTTACTCTTTGGGTTCTAATGCAATATTATTGCTATTTATTTTGTTGCTCTAATTGTTCCAGCTCTGGCCACTGGAATTCTTTCAGGTTGGCTCCTGGGTATTTTTGCTGTTTTTCTTAAAAGTAATTTCTGGGGGTGGCTGGTTAGCTCACTTGGGAGAGTGTGGTACATCAAAGTCATGGGTTCAGATCCCCATACTCGCCAGCTGCCAAAAAAAAAGAGAGAGAGAGAGAGAGAGAGAGAGAGAGAGAGAGAGAGAGAAACCTTAAAAAAAACAAAAGAAAAAAGAATTTCTGATACTGCAAGATGCTCCAGGTTTGTTTTGTGTTTTTCTGCCCTAGCTCTAGAATCAGCCATTCCTTCAAGGAGCCCTGATTCTTCATATTGGAAAATGGTATTTAGAAACCAAGATCTGGGTGCTGGGTGGTCCTCATTGCTATTGGGGTGTCACTGCTTCTGGTCCCTCTGTGTGTCTGTGTGTGTCTGGGTGTCTGTGTTTGCCAACCTGTGTTTACACACATATCTATATTTTCTTATCTATCTATTAAAATAAACACAAATTTTTACTGATAACCCCCGTCTATTGCTTATTTGCAACTTCCTTCTCCAACAGTATGAAGTCTGGCTATCAATATCTACAACGTATGTACTTCTTTGTCCAACTCTATCATGCAAGTATTTTCAGAATTGTTAACTTGTCTCCCCATGAGAAACAAACGTACTGGCTAGAGTACAGTGTTTCTACCCAGTTCGGACACCTGTTTGAGGGGGTGACTTCAGTGGGCTGGACAAATGAGGTTTGTATGCGTGAGCCAGCATTGGCTCCCAGGCTTCCAGTTTGAGACCCCCAACCCTACCTGCTCTGGTGTCTGCCATGGGAAAGTTCTAAGTTCATACCTCCCGGTGGCTACAGTCAAGTCTCAGATCTGGACAAGGGAGGTGGGGAGAGTGGGAATGGGGAGCCCTCCAGCAGCCCTCTCTGGGAAGGCCAGGGGTCTCAGGGGGTCATGGGAGGCATTTTGCCCTCTCGGAGATGCAGACTGGGCAGGGTGTCTCCTGTGGGGGAAAACCCTGGCAGCAGAACCGGCCGGGCGGGTGTGCTGGTCCAGGCACGCTTCAGGCAGGCGGGCTGGGCGGGCTGCGGGCAGGGCGAGGAGGCCAGGGGTGCCTTTCACCTGGGAAGAGATCTGGCTTGTCCTGGGGGGTAGGAGTGGGGATGAGGTGGGGTGGTGCTGCTGCCTGGTGCTGCTGCCTGAGCTGGGTCCCCTCCTAAATCCTCTGCGGGGGTACAATGGTGACTCATAGCACATGCGCTAACATTTATTGAGCTCTCACTGTATGCCCCAGCTCTATTCCAACTTCTTTTATCCTCAATAACAGCCCTGGGAGTGGGTGCTATTATTATCTCCATTTTACAGATGAGGCCATTGAGGCTCAGAGGGGTATCACTTGCCCAGGGTCCTGGGGCATGAAGTGGCTGAGCCTGGCTCTAGATTTGGAGCCCTTAATCTTTAGATGTCTGGGCAGAGTGGCAGAAAGAGTCCCTTCCTTCCTGGATCTGTCTCTAGGGCACAGACACACAACAGGCCAGATGAACAAATAAAGAAACAAGGTGATTTCAAATGATGCCAACTGCCATTTGAAACTGGGGAGGAGGGGGACAGATCAGGGATGGCCCCTCTGAGGAGGTGACCAGCTGGGAAGAGCTGTGGGAAGGATGTTCCAAGCAGACTGATCCCCAGGTTCAAGTTCAAAGGTCTTTTTTTTTTTTTTTTTCTTTCCTGCTATGGAGCAGAGCAGAAGCAAGGACAGCTGCTGGGCAGGGGTGTTCCAAGGAGTTTAAACGCCTCCAAGTTTGTGAGGAACAGGAAAGAGTGCGGTAGCACTGGAGCAGAGTGAGGCAGGGCGAACCTAGAAGTAAGGCAGGCAGACAGATCATGCAGGGCCTTGTGGGCTGCAGGGAGGACTTGGACACTTAACTCATAGCAACATAGGGAGCCATGGGAGGGTTTGGAGCAGGGGAGGGACGCATCTGAGTTTTAAGAACTGTGGCCGTGGGCGTGAAGTGGCGGTTAGGGATAGAAGCACAGAGGTATCCAGGGAGACATCTGCCTGAGACGCCAGAGCCCAAGTCCCCAGGGTCCCAATCCGTGGGAAAGAGGAACAGGGAGAGAGCAGGAGTGGGAGGTGCTGGGCCCGGGACCCGCGAGCGGAAGAGCCCCGTTCCGGTCCCAGAGCTCGCGGGAGGTGTGATTGCCGACTGGGAGGTGTGAAGAGGTCACCTCCCCACCCTGGGTGCGGCTTCCCCTTTGCAGAAGGAGATCATTTATCGAGCGCCTGCTGGGTGCCAGGTGTGGCCCCGCTGCGTTGGGGGGTCTTCAAGGCTCATCCCAGCGGGCACGATCCGATCGGAGCCTTGGTCCGCAGGGTTGTGAGCCGCCGGGCACCGATGGGTTAACGCTGTCCCCCGCCGCGGGTCCCATTGGCTGTGCTGTCCCCGCGCTTGTCTTTGATTGGTCGGAGCAGACAGGAGCGGTTCTGCCCACTTAGGGTACAGAGGGGGCCGAAGCACCTAGGATCAGCGGGCTTCATGCAGGGGCGACCCTGCCTGGGTGTCCCTCGCGGTTTCTCCCACAGGGGCACCCCGGACTTACCCCCATCCCCAGCCTCTGGATCATTGCGCCTGGGGCACCCTCCCCCGCGGCCAGCAAGGCCTGGAGCGGTCGGGGCAAAGGGCAGGGTTCTGGTGAAGGTCACCGCAGCCAGACTCAGCCCCTCTTCCCGGCTGGGGCTGCTGCTCTGTGGGTGGGGGAGCTGGACCCGGCCAGGAAGCTCCTGGGAACTAGTGGGAGGTACGGGGCCAGCTGGGACTGGCCCTTTGGAGGAGCGGGCCTGGGAGAGGCGTGGGAGAGCGACAAACAATGACTGAGAGACACATACAGAGACAGAGAGAAACAGAGACTGAGAACCTGGATGAGAGAGACACGCACAGAGGAAGGGATGGAGACATTCATTCATTCATTCACTCAGCAGACACTTATTGGGCACCATCTGTGTCCCGGTAGTGCCCATGACAGACTCAACCCCTTGCCCCCCAGTGGAGCTGCCAGTCTGGTTGGGACACAGCCCAGACACACGACAAATGAGTAA